CTTCTCTGTCCATCCACTCATCCATCTAACCCACCACACATCTCTTTGGAGTCAGAGTGCTATATTGGAAGGAACATATACTTTAAAATTCTTTACCTCTGAGTTTGAATCTTCTTCTCCTTCTCTAGTTTTTTCTTCTTCTCCTTCTTCTCTTCTTCTTCTTATTTATTTGTGTAGCTGTTTACCTCCCTGAAAATCTATTTCCTGATATGAGGATTTGATTAAAAAATATCAATATCTTGGGGCACCTGGGTGGCTCAGTCAGTTAAGCATCTGAATCTCAGCTCAGGTCTTGATCTCAGGATCTTGAGTTCAAGCCCTTCATTGGGCTTCACACTGGGCATGGAGCCTACAAGAAAGAAAGAAAGGAAAAAAGAAAGAAAGAAAGAAAAAAGAAAGAAAGAAAGAGAAAGAAAGAAAAAGACAGGAAGGAAGGAAGGAAGCAAAGAAGGAAGGAAGGAAGGAAGAAGAAAGAAAGAAAGAAGAAAGAAAGAAAGAAAGAAAGAAGAAAGAAAGAAAGAAAGAAGAAAGAAAGAGAAGAAAGCAAAGAAAGAAAGAAAGAAGAAAGAGAAGAAAGAAAAAGAGAAAGAAAGAAAGAAGAAAGAGAAGAAAGAAAAGAGAAAGAAAGAAAGAGAGAAAGAAAGAAAGAAAACATATTTAGGGGTGGCTGGGTGGCTCAGTCAGTTAAGTGTTTGCCTTTAGGTCAGGTCATGATCCTGGAGCCCTGGGATCCAGCCCCACATTGGGCTCTCTGCTCAGCGGGGAGTCTGCTTCTCCCTCTGCCTCCGCCCCCCCACTCATTCTCTCGCTCTCTTTCACTCTCTCAAATAAAATAAAATCTTAAAAAAAAGAAAAGAAATATCTTTAGTACAGGATTTAATGTCTAAAATATAGTAGGCATGTATGACCTTGCTTTTGCTTTCAACTAGATTATAAACTTCTTAAAAATAGAACTATAACATTATAACTATTTGTTTATTTAGTATCTGGCACACATTAGGCACCGAGTAATTTTTTAGTTTATAATTTTGGTGCAGTGGTAATAAAATTCTCCAGAGTGGATTTTTATTAAAAAAAAAAATCTTCTGGAGACTTAAGATAGCAAACCCTGTGTTGTACTTTGTAGACACAAAGATGAATAAGCAACTATCCTTCTTAGGGGACCTTAAGTTCAAGAGGAAACACAAAATAAACATGATGAATTGGAGGGGCGCCTGGGTGGCTCAGTTGGTTAAGCGACTGCCTTCAGCTCCAGTCATGATCCTGGAGTCCCAGGATTGAGTCCCGCATTGGGCTCCCTGCTCAGCAGGGAGTCTGCTTCTCCCTCTGACCTTCCCCCCCTCTCATGCTCTTTCTCTCTCTCTCATTCTCTCTCTCAAATAAATAAATAAAATCTTAAAAAAAAGATAAAAAAAACATGATGAATTGGGTTTGTTACTAAAAGTGAGCATAGTGGCAATATAGTAAAAGAAAAGATTATGCTAGTCTTAGAGGTTAGTGAAGATCTGGGTCACGTGAGCTGGGTTTTAAAGAATGAGAGGAGCTTGCCAGGCAGATGAGGAGACAAAGGAAAAGAAAAACACACAGAGGTAAAGAAGGGCATTATCTGGAGAGATGCTGAGTGTTCAGGTATGATTCAGATATGAAAAATATGTATGTGATAAAGTTGGAAAGGTTAAAAAAAAAAGGCTTCGTACATCAGGCTAAGAAGTTGGAATATATGGTGTAGAATTAAGGAGGCTTAGAATTTTTTTTAAGTGCTAGAGTCACATGACTGAATATGTGTTATAATACTCACACTAGTGGCAGTGTGGAAGACAGTCGAGTAGGGACTGGAAAAGTGGCAACCAGTTAGAAAAAAGAAAACAAAATGATGTTTTGGAATAACTGACATGGAAGAATCTTTACCCTAAGGCCCAACTCAAGGAATTCAACTAGATATTATTTGGACTTTTCAGTTTTGAGTTTCTATTTCATATTTTTCCATTTTTATGAGTAGACACTTGTCAAGCAGGATACGAATAATACAATGACTTACAAATGGTATGTGGTGTCCTTTTGAGTATTAGAGTAGATGTGAAAATAGGGTCAACAGAGAGAAACAGAGAGAAGGTCATGTGAAGGCAAAGGACATCAGAGTGATGCATTTACAAGCCAAGGAATGCCAAGATTGCCAGCATCCACCAGAAGCTAAGATGAGGCATAAAAATATCCTAGCCTAGAGCCTTTAAGAAAACATTTTGCTCTTCTAGCATCCAGATCTATTGTCCAGAGAAAATAAATATATGTTGTTTAAGAAAAAAAGAAAGAAAGAAAATAAGTCCAACATCTTCCAAGGGGAGCTTGCCTTCTCCTTAACCTGAAGGTCTCTCTCTTCAGGCAGCTACATCCACATAGATATGTACAGAAAATCTGTCACTGATCAACTTAAAGCCTAGGCAAATCCAACTGTAAGCTTGTCAAATCTATGCACCTATGGGTATTTGGAGTGTGGGGTCCCAGTGGTCAGGACTGCAGGGAGAGACTGTTCTGTGGGCTGTCCTATGGGGTGCACATGAGTGATACAAAGCTGTCCAGAACAGATGTAACCAAATCCTGGTAGGCTGAGTTGTTACTTTGAAGAGGCAAGGTTTTCTACTATGCTGCTGGGAGACCAAAGAGTTCTTTTGGCCAACATGAGGTTGTGGGGTAAAGGTGGGTGGAGGGAGAGAGGACAGTGGCAACAGCAGCCTAGAGGTAGCCTCCCACTCTTACTTCAACTCAAGAAGATCCAGGGTTGTTTTTTTTTTTCTGTTTTCTATAAATTTCACTTTAGATTTCATTTGAATGAAGCATTCTATTTTGTTGAATATTTTAAATTTTTAAGTAATCTTACACCCAGTATGGGACTTGAACTCACAACACTGAGGTCAAGAGTTGTACACTCTATTGACTGAACTAGCCAGGTGCCCAAATAGTGTTCTAATTTAAAACCAATTTGAAAAACACTGGACTAGATATATAAGGCAAATCCAGGTGCATGGGAAAGAGATAAACCTTAAATGCTAACGAGAGACAAAATTTTGAGGGCAGTTGGTTGGAATCCAAACCTGAATGAATTCCCTGAAACATCACAGCCTCAGATGCAGGAGGATAAACTAGTGCAGACACTACTAAATTCTAGAGGGGGCCTTCAGGAATTATCCAGTTCCTTAAGCATGCCACTCGTATTCTCCAGGGTTTCTCCCAACTTTGGGCCAATAAATACCAAGGTGAAACAGTTTCTAAGAATAATTCATTGGTCTCTGGATTTATTGAGAATATGTATCACCTAGATTTGTACTATTTCAGAGGAGTTATTTCTTCAGATGTAAAAATTTTCTAAACCCCACTGAATTTGTTGGTCCTTCCTTCCTTCCTTCCTTCTTTGCTTCCTTCCTTCCTTCCTTCCTTCCTTCCTTCCTTGCTGCCTGCCTGCCTTCCTTCCATCTTCCCACCCTCCCTTACTCCCTCCCTCCCCTTCCCTGCCTCCCTCCTTCCTTGCCTTCCTTCCTTGCTTCCTTCCTTTAAAATTTACTGAGTATTTACTATGGTCCAGACACTAGGAATCTAAAATATGTGCAGATCCTCAAGGAGCTTACAGATTTGTGTGAAAGACAAGTGACTATACAAATAACACAGCCCAGTACCTGCTAGGGTAGAGATGAGCACAGGGCCTGTAGGAGTAGAAGATATTGATTGCATCAAAACTCCTAAGAAATTGAGATCAATATTTGTATGGCTCTAGAAGAACTGGTTGAAATATTTTAGACATAAACTGTGATGTTGGGAAGCTTCAGAATACTTTGATAGGCAGAATCCCTATGAGATTATTAATATGTAAGATAGATGATTGTGAGGCAAGTGTTAGAGAAGATGTATAAAATAGAAGTGATTTTTAAAATGAACAAATGCACACAGAATATGTATGCAGATGAATTACTCAGACAGTGGGATGGTAAGAGTCCAAATACCCTCAAGGAATGTGGTACTCATCACCATACCTGACACACATTATCACATGCTAATTTAGTTTATTGTATTGAATTAAATATGAACATGCCCAGATTCTCAGAATTGGAAGGAGTATGGAAGAGCTTGCCATCCAACAGCCCACTAGTGCACACAATGTGTGTTTCTTTACCATAGGCTGGCTGTCGCCAGGTCCCCTTGCCCTACACCTACACATTTGCACCACCACCACAGCTCAACTCCTCTCAGTACCAAATATGCCACTGCTACAGAGCTATTATTCATATTTAAGTGATAAAAACCCAAACAATAATAGAGCCAAAAGGAGAGAGCGAACCAGGAAAACCAGCATTAGTTATAGAGGTTCTTGTATCAACTGATTCAATTGTGTATCAGTTTAATAGGCCAAAGATTTTTCCTCTATTGTGGCTTAGATTATTTTACAATCTTATTTCACATTATGTATTATGAAATTCCATGAAGGCAATCAGGAAGAAAAGGAATTATAAGAAATAGTAGGAATTGAAGAGAGAATGGAAAAGGACTCTATCTTATTAAAATTTTCACAATCCAATTACACAATAGACTTGTGATTGTTTTATTTTCCAACCTGGAATTATGGTTTTTCATCACACACACACACACACACACGCACTAATTTTGTACCTATACTTAGGATTTTCTGTATGGACCCAGTTGCTATAGTAATATAACATTTTTCAAAATTTGAATAATGAAATTTATATAGTATTTATGGTATATATATATTAATATTGTATATAGTGTACATATATTGCTATATGTATATACATGTTTATGCTATATACTATATACATAGAGTAATATAGCATTTTTCAAAATTTGAATAATGAAAGGGTTGAGACATAGATCCCTAGAAAAGAGTAATGATCAACTAAAAGATAATCTGATCACATTTTTGCATTTTATGTTTATATATACATATATATAAATCCTATGTTTAATTCTAATTTCTAATATTTTTTTTCAAGGAAGCTTACAGGTTCGCTATCAGCTAAGCAAGGAAGAAACCCAGGTTTTCAATATTGATGCAGAGAACTTTGCCAACAGAAGGATGCACCATTTGAACATTAACCGCGAGGGAAGAGAGCTTACCATTCAGGTATCTTACTTAACTTCTTCTCTTTCAGTCAAATATGCTTTGGCTGTTCAGTAAAATTTTCTGAGTTTCTACCCTGAGCCAAGCATGCAGCCAAGTTCTGGGGATAGATATCAAGCACACTTGACTCCAGCTTTTGAAGAACTAGACAAAATTGAACTACTGAACTACAGTGTGTTCCCGTTTTGCTACCAGCATGAACATCTCCTGAGACCTTGTTAGAAATGCAAGTTCTTGGGCCTTACATCAGAATACTTAATCACAACTTTTTTGCAGGAGGTAGCAGGTGATTCTGAAGCCTGATCAAATTTGATAACCCTGAATTGGAGTATAAGAGGACACACAGCTGAAGAGGAAATCACAAGAGACTGGCAAGGGCTAGGGGAGAAATGTGTGCAGGTGATATGGGAGCACAGATGAGGCCACTGATCTCTTCTGGGAATCAATATTTTTTTCTTGGAGAAAGTTAGGAATAAACTGAGTCATGAAGGTGAGGAGGAATTGGCTAAGTGGAGAAGAAAGAAAGAAATGCTCAGATGGTGGGTCCACGTGAGAATCAGCAAAGATGTCCAGAAAAGCATAGTGTGTGGCAAACACTCTGGAATTCCAGGGGTCTTGGTATAAAAGGCAGGGATCAGATGAGGGCACATGACAACAGAGAACTGGCAGAGTCCACACCATCCTATTCAGAATCATGACTTATAATGAGTCCTTCCGTCTGCCCAGCAATTGTCTCTTATTTTTTTTAATCCATCACTCTCTTGATCTCTTAGATGATAAGTTTAAACCTCCTTGTTTCCCCTTACACCCAACAATTACAACCCCATCTTCACTTGTATGAGATGACTTTCTTTTCTTCTTTATTGTGATAAATGTAACATTCAGAAGACAATACCTGCACACTCTCACCACATTTACTCATACACATGCATTGGAGTCCAGGAACTTTGTCTCCCTCATGTTGGTGAATATGAGCAGGCAGGACTTCTTTCTAAGACTGAATCCATGACTTGTGGGACAGGTCTCATACCACACTGAAGAACATCACTCCAGCATCTTCCCCTCCCTTGTCAACATTTCCCAGTTTTGTTTGGATGGCTTCCCAAAGCATAAACATGCAAGGATTGCATACATTAAAAACACAATTACAATACAATACAACACAACACAACACAACATGACAAAAATCACTCTCTAGGTCAGGGAAGGGAAACTCTCTCTTGTCTGAATTCATGTACTGTCCCATTTTCTCTTTCAGTTTATTGCCCACATCCTTGGAAATGTTTATATATTTGGTCTTCCAAGTTGCCCTTCCTTTTTCTTAAACCAGTGAATAATTTGTTTCTGTGCTGGACTAAAATTATACTTCTCAAGACACCAGTGATCTTACAGAATCTAGCGATCTTTTCCTTACTTATCTTCCCATTGACATTTGACACAATGATGCCTCTGCTCTTGAGACACATTCTTATTTAGCTTGTAGGACATCAATTTCACCTGCTTTTTCTTCTGTATCTGCTGGATGCTCATTCTCTTCTCTTTTGTTGCCTTCCCATCATTGTCTGAAGTGGAGCATCCTATGACTCGTTTTCATTTCTTTTGTGTCTACACTCATTCTGTGTCTAATCTCATTCAGACTCACATCTTTTTTTTTTTAAGATTTTATTTATTTATTTATTAGAGAGCAAGGGAGTGAGAAACAGCATGAGAGGGGAGAGGGTCAGAGGGAGAAGCAGGCTCCCCACTGAGCCTGGAGCCTGATGCGGGACTCAATCTCCGGACTCTGGGATCATGACCTGAGCCGAAGGCAGTCGCTTAAACAACTGAGCCACCCAGGCGCCCCAGACTCGCATCTTTAAATGCCATGGAATGCTGATTAATTGATCCCAAAGCTACATTTAACTCCAATCCTTTCTCTGAATTCCAGACCTATCATTGCCGACTTGGCATATCTCTTGAATGTCTATTAGCAATCTCAAATGTTACATATTTCACATTGAGTTACTGAAAATCTTTCCCCAAACACTCCCTACCCCCATAAATCTTCCACACCTCAGTTAATAGCAGCTCTATTCTGGCAACTTCTCAGTCTCAACATTATGGTGTCATCTCTGATATCTCTCTTCTCTCACATGCAACATCCTGTTGATCAACAGCCTCTACCATTCCCCAGCCACTCTCTATCTTCCTTGGACTATTACAGTTTACAGTTGCATCTTAATTGACAGATCTCTCCTTCACTTTTTGTTCCCCTACAACCTGTTCTCAACATAGCAGCCAGAGAGATCCTATTAAAACATTAATCAGATGGTTCTCTTCCATCCAAACATTTCAGTGGTTTTATTTCTCATGTAGAGTAAAAGCCAAAGACCTTAAGAAAAAAGTAAGTAGAGTAGAGTAAAAGCCAAAGACCTTGAGAAGCTTAAGGGGGTCTCCGTGACCCAGCATCCACAGCTCAATTCTCATGTTACTCCCATCTATCGGTATTTTCTTTGACTCTACACTTGCCACTCTGTCCTCCTTGCTGTTTCAGGGCTCTTGAACATCCTTGAATATGCTTTGCTTAGAATGCTATTGTCCATATGTCTACATTACTAGTTGTACTTGCACTTCTTTCAGGACATCTCTCAAAAAGCAATTATTCTTAATGAGACCATTTTTGATCACCTTGTTTAATACAGTGAACTTGCCCTTTGACATCCATCCTACAGTGCTTAAACACAATCTAACATTCAATATAATTTATTTATTTATTTTTTTGTCTTCTCTCTCCTCTAGAGGACAGGAATTTTTTCTGTTTTCATTACCATAGAACCCCACTTTATCAAGCAATGCCTAACATATAACAGGTACTCAATTAATATTTATGAATGAAATGAATAAATTCCACAGGGCTTAATTTATTATGTGGAGGAGATCAAATTGGCCCTGTGAAGAAGGGAAGGGAAACCATTGGGTTTTAGGCAAGGGAAGTAGAATTTCATTTTCAGGGGCTCACTGTGATCACTGCATGGAAATACACATTTGGGAGTGATGAGGCATAAGACAGAGGCCAGTCAGAAAGAGATCATGAGGGCTTCAATTAGTGCAGTGGGGGAACCATGGACATGGAGATGTGAAATGTCATAGAAGTAACATCAGTAGCATTGGGCAACCTTTTAGATGTAGGTTATGGGAGAAGTCAAAGATGACTATTAGTTTTCATGACTGAGTGGGGGTTCAAGAACAATTGTCCAATGTGTGGTAGAAAACAATCCCTGAGTGGTTTTAATATAATGAGCTTCCCTCTAGAATTTACTCTTGAAATAAGGGGGACACATCTTTGGAGAAAGTTTGGTTTGGTGCAAGATTGGAAGATAAAAGGGATGGGAATGATAACTTCTCATTTGAATGTCTTGACATGCAGGGTGCATTCTGGTGGGCATGTGTACATATGATTCAGTTTTCCTTCTTTATATTTCCTGTATTCTTTTCCACAAGTGAAAGTCACAAACAGGTCAGTGAGAGAACAATAAGAGGCATTTCCTTCTCTTTTCCATAAAAAAGATTTCCACCAATCAATTTAATAGTGAATATAAGCACATGTTGGTTGAGAACATATTACTTCCAAAACCTTGAGGGTGCAGAAAGAAAACTGGAGCAGAGGGGCACCTGGGTGGCTCAGTCATTAAGCGTCTGCCTTCGGCATAGGTCATGATCCCAGGGTCCTGGGATGGAGCCCCATGTTGGGCTCTCTGCTCAGCGAGAAGACTGCTTCTCCCTTTCCCATTCCCCTGCTTGCGTTCCCTCTCTCACTGTCTCTCTCTCTGTCAAATAAATAAATAAAATCTTAAAAAAAAGAAAAACTGGATCAGAGACTATTTTTTTAATAATTTTAAATCATTTCATTGACACAGTAATGCAATACACCTGCCTCCTTGATACTCTTATCCTGTTTATATCTCTCCATCCTTCCTGCTTAGAACAAACTGTTCAGTAAAAACAGAAAAGGATAGGCTCCTACTACATCTCCAGTCCTGCCCTTAGGCCCTGTGGATCAGAATTGATTAGAGAGGGCAGGTGGGCATCACCGTACTCAACCAATCAGAGGCATCCAGTACCTATAAACAGATTCCCTCATAACCCCCAGGCCTTGAGTTGCTATTCTTCCTCTTGTCTTTCTTTGTGATGCTAAGAAGGAGGTCATGGGGACTGGGCCTGCAATCAGGAGCAAGTATTCCTGGAGATGATTTGAGAATTGTAATTTGGCTAGTGTTTTTTAAGGTACAGGTGCCCCCCAAAATGCTCTGGTAGTGGAGGTGAACTTCAGTGTTCTTATTTAAAATGCATATGTGACATTAAACAGATAAAGCCAGTTTACCAAAATGCCAACTCATAAAGAAGGAAGTGCTAGGAACTTTTGAAACAAAGTAATTACTTCCTTTTTTCTCAGGAGATGAAGATCCTGAGGTCAAGAGAGGTATCCCTATAGGACTTGAGTGTGAATTTGGGCTCCACTACTTATATTGCATGATCTAAGACCATTACTCACTTTTCTGAGCTTCAGTCTACTGCTTTATTAAAAAAAAAAAAAAAAAAAAAAAGACGGGCGCCTGGGTGGCTCAGTCGTTAAGCCTCTGCCTTCAGTTCAGGTCATGATCCCAGGGTCCTGGGATAGAGCCCCACATCGGGCTCCCTGCTGAGCGGGAAGCCTGCTTCTCCCTCTCCCTCTCCCCCTGCTTGTGTTCCCTCTCTTGCTGTGTCTCTCTCTGTTAAATAAATAAATAAAATCTTAAAAAAAGAAAAGAGGGGGAATGCAAATGCAAACTGAGCTTTTCGAAAGAACATAGCTAAAAGACCAAGCATGAAGCCTGGCATGTAGGACTTACTCAAAAAAGGTTTGTTCCATTTTCTTCTTTTTTTCCATCCCATTTAAAAACTTGACAAGACCACTGAGCATCCTAGATCCTGAGATCAACAAAGCTTCTCTAAGGCCAGATTTCAAACTTTAGACATCCAATAGTTATAAAGGACTACAGATAATTCTTCACTCTTTACCACCCCATCAATTATAATTAAAAACAAAAACAATACTAAACCATAGAAACAAATAAAAGGAAATATGACAAAATAATATAGTTCCCACTGAATACCTCAATGATTGCAATAGCCCATATTATAAATGTTGAAGGCCTGAAAATAAATATCTCTAGTACACCCTTCTTTTTGTTTGTTTGTGTGCTTTTGTCCTATGAATTTGCTAAGATTTTTTCAAATTGGTAACCCAGCACCTGAACCAGTCCAAATGCTTAGGTGCCATATTCCATGTTAGTGCTGGAACCCATCCCCCAACTATCCATAGTCCAGCAGTAACCTCAAGTATCGTTTGAGTCATCTTTCCTTCCTCTCCAAATACTCATGTTTTTCTAAAAACTCCCTTAACTGGGTGTCATTTCCCACCTTTTCTCCTTCATTAGTGATTGGGTTTAAGTGCTAAAGACTAGGTAAGTTCCCACGAAACAGAATAGCAGGATAGGGATGACTCAGCTACTTGAACAGTGAGTTCTCCCATGTGTGACATTTGAGCATGGAACTGTCAAGGTTCAGAAACAACTTGCATAGGAAGTTGATCTTGTGGACCCTGGGGAGCAGGTGAGGGGCAGAATCTAGGGGAATCTCAGCTCAACCTTCTTTTTTTTTTTTTTTTTAAAGATTTTATTTATTTATTTGAGAGAGAGAGAATGAGAGATAGAGAGCACGAGAGGGAAGAGGGTCAGAGAGAGAAGCAGACTCCCCGCCGAGCAGGGAGCCCGATGCGGGACTCGATCCCGGGACTCCAGGATCATGGCCTGAGCTGAAGGCAGTCGCTTAACCAACTGAGCCACCCAGGCGCCCTCAGCTCAACCTTCTACTATTCTCAACTCCACAGGGAACTCTCACTCATTTCAGCATCCTCTCCAACCTGGGCAAGAGCACAGGAGGGGAGGACCCTGCCCCTACTGGAAGGGGCAGTTTTAGAGATTAGAAGAGGCAGGACATAGCTCTGAAGTAGGGCAGAAAGAAAACTCCTTCAGGGCAAGGACTGAATCTGAATCCATGAGCATTAAACAAATTGTGGATGGGCACCATGGGGACCAAACCCCAATGTTGTACCTAAAGGTGTAGGGACTACCAGGCAGTAAGAAGCATCCTGGTGATGTGACCAACTATGTCCCCATAGCCCCAAGATAGAAAGGGAATCAATACAAGATGTTTATTTATTCACTCAACAAACCCATGTTAGGAGTTACTTTGCCAGTTTCTGTAAAAGGTCCTAAAGAAAACATATATTGCTAAGATGTCTGAATTCTTAAAGAGGCAATAGTTTAGTGAGGGTGGGAGGGAGAAAGAGAGAGAAGCAGATCGTTATAATGCAGCACTTTAAATTCCAAGTTAGGGGCAGAAAAAAAAGCCACCATGAGCATAGAGAAGAGTGTCACCTGATCGAACCAAGACTTCAAGGAAAGCTTTCTGGATGAGGTAGACTCATGGAGCACTTAGAATAGTGTTTGGCACATAGTAGATTCTCAGATGTTTGTTGATGAGTTTTGTTGAAAGCCAGAAGTAAAAACATATAATGATTGTCTACGAGTTGCTCAGATATCTAGAGAGGTGTGGACAAGTAAAGCAAACACCATAAAGAGTGGTGGGTGGGCCACATGACAAAGGGACACTCCTTTGTGACACTGTCTGGCCCTGGCCAAGTTATTGATCTCTAGGATATCAGTTCCTTAGGCTGTAAAACAGGTGTAATAATGCCTATTTCACAATATTATAGGGAGGCATATATTTTGAAAGATGCTTCAATATGATGTCTCATACATACCAAGAATTCAATAAATAGCAAATATTATTCCAGTCTCATTTCATAAATGAAATAGTAATAAGGTATCTAATCATGCATCAGAAGTCATAGCCAGTGACTTCTCTCACAGCAGAAACCGCTACAGAACCCAGAGGATTCTAGGGGATGGTTAATCTGAGCAGAAGTGGGTGGAGGGACCGTGGGATCTAGGAAAATTGAGTATCAATCCTGGGTTAGCTGCTTCCAAGTGGAGAGTGGGGCTGGGCATACAGTTTTAAAGGTTCATAATTACCTATTCATATCATGTGAATGTTCAGTGTAGAGCCTAGAAGAAATTGCAGATTTGACTAGACCAAAAAGGCTGGGAATGGATGGGTAACACTGTCTTGGAATGAGGAGAAGGGGAAGAAGGGGATAGAGCTGGGATTAGCAGTAGGCCAGAAAAAGAGGGTGCCCTAAGGGATTATCCTGGAAATAAAGTCCCAAAGAATCCCAGTGGTGGCCTTTGCTCACCCCTGTGAGGGGTGCTTATCAGGTGTTCATGTTGGTGGCAACTCTTCTGCTAGCCTATCCTCCCCAGGGTCCAACTTTTTGTTAAACTGAAATATTTGCTCAGGAAAATCCCCCCATCCACACCCGAAAAGGACCAGGTTAGAATTATTGTAGCAAAGGGGGCAGTAAGGGCCAAATGGGGAGAAGGGAGAAATGGGGAATGAGTATATGCTTTCCTTTCAATGTCAGTCCTGCACAGCATGGTCCCAAGAAGGCTTCATTTGTTTGCTTGTTTGCAGTAAAGAACTTGGTGAGAAACTCTCAGTGGGGAGATAAATACCTGTCTAAAGCTGTACAGAATTTCCCAGGGAGAAGACTTGTATGAAAGCCTTTATTTAACCAAGAGGGAAGAAAGGAGTATTTTGCGTGCATTGTGGGAGAATTAGCGAGACATTTCTCATCTCTCCAGAGAGAAAGTCCCAAAGAGGGATCTGCTCTGTGTGTGCTTCCAAGCTTTTTCCAGATGGGAGGGTTTTATGCCCTTTACTTACAGACCTCTTCTGATGCACCTTTGTTTTCTGTTTTCCTGCAGGTAGATCAGCAACTGCGACTCAGTTACAACTTCTCCCCAGAAGTCGAATTCAGGGCCATACGGTCACTCACCTTGGGCAAAGTCAAAGGTTTGTTCTTGCCCATTCCTTTCCAGTGGGCTTTGTTAAAATCAATGAAGAAATAAGTAATTTCCATTGGGCTGGTTGGCAATTCAAATCTGGAGGCTCTTGCTCCTATAACATGCAAGATCTAAAACCAAGGTTTCTGGTATAGGACTTGCTGATATATATATGTGGCAGGGTTTGGGGCTGGCATTTATATCTACTTTATAGAAGCCTGACTAAGGCATATTAACATAGAAGTTAAGTAAAATAATTGTTTACTTACTTTCTAATTAATTAATTGATTTTAGATGTTTATTTTTTACTTAAATTTTCTTAATTTTTACTTAAAGAAATTAAGGATTTGGGCTATCCAGTTATTGGATTGCTCAAATGTTTAATCTCTTCATTAATTCTTCACCAGTTGAAAGAGGATTGAAATCTCCTATAATAGTAGATTTTCTTTTTTTTCTACCAGAAGTTCTGTGAATTTTCATCTTATATACAATGAGGGTCTTTAAGAAATTTTTGTATCTTGATGAATTGAACATTTTTTTCATACTGAAGTGGTCTTTTTAAATTAATTTCTCCTTGGGGTTAAGTCTGTTTTGCCTGTTATTAATAAATCAGATTCATTTGTGTGGTCTATCTTTTCCCATATATTTCCTTTCAATTTTTCTTTTTCTTCCCTTTTCTCTTTATTTTTTTAAATTCAATTATAATGAATATGCAGTGTCATATCCTTTTTAAGTGTGCAATATAATGATTCAGCAATTCTATACATTGCTCAGTGCTCATCACGATAAGCATACTTTTGTTGTTTTTTTAAGATTTATTTATTTGAGAGAGAAAGAGGGACAGAGAGAGCACAAGTGGGAGCAGGGGTAGAGGGAGAGGGAGAGAATCTCAAGCAGACTGAGCAGGGAGCTTTATGTAAAGTTTTATCTCAGGACCCTGAGATCATGACCTGAGCTGATCTCAAGAATTAGATGCTTAACTCACTGAGTCACCCAGGCACCCCATGATTAGCATATTCTTAATCTTTCTTTTTCTTTAAGCCTGTGTGTAATCTTGTGAAGAACATACGGCTGGATTTTGTACTTTATCCAGTCTGACCATCTTTGGGTTATAAATTGGCAAATGTAAGCCTCTCTACATTTTGGGGTTGCTTGTATGGCTAGATTTGTCTCTGCTTCCTTATTTTCTATTCATTCAACTTTTTTAGGCATTTTGAGCAAGAATGCATTTAACACTGGAAATGAGTTGCTTGCGAAATTGTGGCACCCCTTCCAGTATTGGTAAATTCTTGTTGCAGTCTTTTGGAATGACTATTCAGCAGTTGTGAGGGGATTTATGGGAAGCTATTAGCTCTGAGGCCATCACTGATGAGAGGCTAGAGTCCAGAAGCCCCTGAGGCCCCAGTCCTGCAGTACTCCTCCCCAGGAGGTAGGAAAGGTCTCTGAAAAGTGATGGCAGAGGACACTTCATTTTACCATGATTTTACTTGCCAGTAGAAACAGCTGAGGAGGCATAAAAATGACTCCTGTCTCACTGCAGGCTTCCAGATCCATAAACTTATTTAATTTCCAGAACATTATGCATGTCCAGAAACCCAGCTGTAGTCAGGTCCGGAAAATGTCAATTTTAGCTTCCAAAATGGCAGTTGAATGAGCCAGTCACCACTGACCAACCTCTAGATTGAATTTTGTATGTTTATTTTCTTATTTCCATCCCCCCTCCTATTAATAATCATTTTGTGTTGACACCATTATTGTTATTGTTGTTGTTGTTATTATTTACTTATTTATTTATTATTTATTTTTAGAGAGAGAGTGCAAGCAGGGGTGGGGAAGGGCAGAGGGAGAGGGAGAAAGAGAATCCCAAGCAGAATCCAAGCTGAACTCAGAGACTGACATGGGGCTCAATCTCACAACCCCAATACCAAGACCCAAGCAAAAATCAGGGTTGAACACTTAAGGACTGAGCCACTCAAGTGCCCTGACACTATTATTTTGATTTAGTAATGCAGTCACTAATTTACTTGTTCCTCAATCCTTCATATACTTCATAACTTTCTACTTACTACAAGGTTTAATTTCCTTCTTTCTGAAGTAAATCCTTATGAGTTTCTTTGTCTAAGTGTCCCTTCATCTGATAAAGGACTTTATCTCAACTTTATTAATGGAAAATTATTTTGCTAGACATACAATTCAATAATAAAGGATATTTTCCTTTTGATATTGAGAGAATTATTCAGGTATGTGATGGAGCTAGCTCACAGTAGCACATAAGAACCTGTTATACACACCTGTGCCCAATTCTGCATTCACTAATGTTACAATCCAATTTGAAACTGGATAAACTTGGAGTGTTTATGGAAATCAGAAATGCTACAGGTCTCTCCCACTGTTGAGGGGTCAGATTTAAATCCTCACCAGCACATCACTCTAGTCTTCTGTCTTTTGCTATTACTGTTGAAAAGTTGGCTGTCAGTCTGTCCTGCCTTTGAAAGTGCTCTGATCACCCCCATCCCCAACACCCACAAGCTACTTTTAAGGTCCTCTTTTTTCTTTAGGTGTTTTGCAGTTTTATAGCCTTGTGTCTGATAGTATATTTCTTTTAAAGTATCTCCTTTGATGTGTGTGTTTCCTCTTTGTATCTATTTATTAGCTCTTATGTATCTATCTATAGCATATGTATTATTCACATGTATCCCCATATTAATTCTCAAAAATTCTCAGCATGTCAAATCAGGCCTCTTTCTTACTCTCTCTATTCAATTATTCTAGACCCACACTAAGCAAATCTTACATTTTACATTTTTATCTTCATGTTTCTTACTGTACTTTTATAATAAATATCATTATTATTAATATTTTTGTCTATCTTGCATTCTGGGCAATGTATTGATTTTCCCATCTTCAGATTCACTAATTCTCTCTTCAGCTCTCCCTAATATCTCATCAAACCCAGTCACTGAGACATTTTTCATCAATTATTTTATTTCTAAAAGTTTTTATTTGTTCTTTTCAAACACATCTGTTTATTTAGTCGGTTGTTCTCACTCATTTTACTGCTTCTATATTTTTATGTCTAATTATTATGTTAATAGCTATTGAACATTTTGCCTCTGATAATCCCAATATCTGAAGTCTGTAGGGGTCTAAATCTGTGAATTTTGGTTTTCTACTCCTTTCCTATGGTTCCTTGTTCTCATGTGTGTGTGTGTCTATGTGTGTGAACACATATTTTGTTGAAATTAATTTGTAGAAACATTGGTGATCAAAAATTTGGAAGCCTTCCTCTAGGCAAAATTTGCATTTAATCCTACCAGGTACCAAGAGGTGCTACCAATTTAGGATTATTTTAAGTTCTCGCTTTGGTTTTTTTTTGTTTGTTTTGTTTTGTTTTTTTTCTGAAAAGAGAGTGAGTATAAGTTTGACCTGCAGACCTGAATGAGAGCAAGCCTATGATTGAAGTTTCAGCAGAAATGTTGTACTATGAATATCATATGTCATGTTATTACTTTTGTTACTTTTTTTTTTTCTTTTTACAATTCAAAGCTGCATCAGAAGTGGACAGGGTTTATGTTTAATCCCTTTGCTGTTAGGTGATATTCTTTTTTAGTCTTCTTTTCACTAAAGCTTCCTGTGAGAGTCTCAGATTCAACATCTTCACTTGGCAAGGGCTCAAGGCTTGGATTTCTATTCTTCTACAAGATGGTACAAGTATTTCTGCATGATACAACCCTAATATTGGTTTATGGCTCACTGCCTTGGTTTTGTCCTCCTAAAACTTATGATTCTTTGTTCCTGAAGTTCAGTGAGACAGTAAAAGTATGTTTGTTGATTTTAATGAAGCAGTATTACATTTTAGAATATCTAGTCTATTATATGTTCTATGCTACATAAATATATATTGATTAATGTCAGCCTCACTTCAGCCAAATCAGAAGAATCTTGGGAGGAAAGATAATTAGGGTTGCATGACCACAAAACTCAATTGTTTTTCATAGCATCTGCTTTGTACAATGGAAGTTCTAGAAACATCCACTTGTTTAAACAGTGTCCCTCCATTAGTTTTGTCACCACATAGGATGTAACTGTGGTCTTCCCATCTTTTGAATTAAATTCATAATATATGAGACCAAAAAAGTAAAAGTCTAAATAAAGGTACTAAATCTCTGATGGATACCTTGTCATTTTGTTTTGGGTACTTTGTGAGGTACTTTGGAAAGAACTTGGTTAAGTTGAGGAATAATAGTAAAATTTTTTTCCTTGTGCTTACTTTTGGGGACTCCTGACTGCTGGCCTCCCTCCCCATCCAAACTGCTATTACAGACAGGATCCCAATTAACCTCACCACTTCTGGTTTATTAGAAGTCTCTAGCTGGAGGTGAAGGAGATGATATGAATGTCAACTTCATTATTAAGGAGGGACACTAATCCTGGGAATTTGTTGGAATCAAGCCTTATGCATCAGAAAGAGTATGGTGCAGGGATAGAGGATCCCGGAAGGGATGGTACAGAAATGGGTGAGTGGAATTGATGGCAAATGAAACCCTACTCCACAATTTTATTTATTTTATTTTATTTTATTTTATTTTATTTTTTATTTTATTTTTTTATTTTTATTATGTTAATTACCATACATTACATCATTAGTTTTTGATGTAGTGTTCCATGATTCATTGTTTGTGTATAACACCCAGTGCTCCATGCAGAATGTGCCCTCTTTAATACCCATCACCAGGCTAACCCATCCCCCCACCCCCTCCCCTCTAGAACCCTCAGTTTTTTCTCAGAGTCCATAGTCTCTCATGGTTCATCTCCCCCTCTGATTCTCCCCACTTCATTCTTCCCTTCCTGCTATCTTCTTTTTTTTTTTAACATATAATATAGTATTTGTTTCAGAAGTACAGATCTGTGATTCAACAGTCTTACACAATTCACAGTGCTCACCATAGCATATACCCAGTGTCTATCACCCAGCCACCCCATCCCTCCCACCGCCCACCACTCCAGCAA